GAAAAAGTTTTCCTGCCTTTCATTTAGTATAAAGTAAAATAAGAAAAGGATTTAGATTATGAGGATCAAGAAAAAATAAAATAAATTCAAGAAAAAGTTTGAGTTTGGCTCCTGTGGAACCCTATACAGTGAAGTTCTCTGGAGCTCTTTGTGTTTCTCTAGTTCTCCCTGGCTTGATGCTCTGTAATTGACTTGTAGCTCACCATCTTTCAACTTCCTAAGTAATTTAGATATGCTATTTTGGCTAAAAGTAATAACATTTTAATTCTCAGTTGACTGAAAGCATCTATAAGGCTATATTAGAGAAGTTTTATTAACTCATATAACTTCCCTTTTCAATGGCTGTTATATATGTGTATGATGGGGTATTACATTTAGGGGATGAATGAAAAGATTAAGGATGTTAAATTAGAGGACAGACTCCTTTTTATGTATTTTTATTTTAAAAATATTTTTGTAGGTATATAGTTAAGTGCATATATTTAGGACAGGCTCTCTGTCTTCTTTTTTTTTTTTTTTTTGAGACAGAGTTCACTCTTGTTGCCCAGGCTGGAGTGCAATGGCGCTATCTCGGCTCACTGCAACCTCTGCCTTCTGGGTTCAAGTGATTCTTCTGCCTCAGCCACCCTATGGGATTACAAGCATGCACCACCATGCCTGGCTAATTTTGTATTTTTAGTAGAGATGGGGTTTCTCCATGTTGGTCAGGCTGGTCTGGAACTCTTGACCTCAAGTGATCTGCCTGCCTCGGCCTCTCAAAGTGCTGGGATTACAGATGTGAGCCACTGCGCCTGGCTAGGACAGGCTCTCTTAAAAGTGAGGTTGCTGCCACCACTTTGTATTCTTCTGTATACACTGTTGTAAAAGCTGTACAGTTGTATTCTGAGGGTGTTTCTAAGCTTCTCCAGACCAGTGGAAGTGGAGTGGAAATAGGAGTTGAAGGAGAAAAAAGAACAATATAAAGTCTCTTGCTGTTAGAAAAGAACTTGTTCATGTAATTTTAAAACGCTTGATAGTGAGTGTTAAAATGTTATGGTGTTTAGATTTCATTGGATAAAGTTAAAAGAAAGATATAATTATTTTGTTTCAACATGTAAATATTTATAGTGTGCTAGAAACTATGTCCTTTATAATTTTCAAGGGGAAGTTTTAGATGTGAACGTTAAAAGTGCAAGGGGGTGCACAATTTTTTCAAAAAAATCCAAAGGGGCATGTGAATGCCCGTGTATGATAAGTGGCTTTGAAAAAAACTTTTTTGCCTGTAACCCAAACTAAAAAATAGATTTCTTATCATAAACCAGCACAGGCACCAAAGCATTGGTTACCATATGTGATGCTGTCAGGCAATCTTTTGCCTTCTCTTTCCCTTTCTATTACTCTTTTTCTTTCTATTTCAATCCATTAAAAAAAATAATAATCTGGTCTTGACCTGCTAACTTGTTTACTTCCACTCAAGGGTTAGGACTTGCAGTTTGAAACAAACACCTGGATCTAAGATACAGTCTTTTGTTTTTGTTTCATTTTTTAAAAGTCTGAGCATAAATAAGAGAGGTAGAAATAAAACTTATATGAATGCTTCAATTTAATTAGTTTCCAAGCTGTTCTGTGGAGCTGAAAAGTGACATCAGTTTAAATATCTTTTCGTGCTTATCCTCTCAGACAGCTGTACCTTTTCCCCATTATACCAATATCAAAAATCTACAAACTAAAAAACCTAAGTGGGATGGAAAAACGGGGAGAGTCTTTATATAATCTTAATTAGTAGTCTGACTGATGCTAAAGTATAAACTTTAAAAGAGGATTAAATCATGTCTCCACTATGAATCTAAAATCTGTTAAATACTGAACTTGTTAATTAAGGAGGGAACTAGTAAGATACTGCACCTGGTTCAAAAGAGAACTCAAAGCATCATCACACATTGATAAGCAAATAAGGAATGTTAAATTTATAAATGGATGCAAAATTGGTTAGTATTAACAGGGGAATAACTAATGCATTTTACCAGAAGTGTTTTTATGGATAGGAATTACATGCATGACTGTCAGTTTCCTACAATTGATCTCCTATTCTTACAGAGTTAAAAAATAGCCTAGTCAAAACAAGCAAAGGTGGGAATAACCTGAATGGGTGCGCTAGCCAGGACATCTACTTAATTCTAAAGGTTTAAACAGTTTTTCCTTTTACTGATTTAGGCTGTTCCTAACCTAGATCTAAAATACTTTGCCACCTGAAAGCCACGTCCAGTTTCTAGAGGATTCGTACCAGCTGCACTGTATTTGTAAACATTGTGAATTTGTTGCTATTATTTAAAACCTAGATTTTTACATAATAGTTGGATTTCCAGTTTGGCTTGGAAAATCCGATTGAAATGGAATTTACTATTATTTTCTTCTCTTAAGATAAACTTCTTTTTCCTACTTCCCTTTTCTTATTCATAATATCACTTTTCCATATCATTTCTGTATATCCCTTCTTTTCTCATCGAACTTCACCCATCTTAATCCAGTCCCTTTTCACTACAACTTTCTAACTTCTTGACTCCAGGCTCTCATCAATCAGTCTCTCCAGCATGCTATTTTACATTTAATCTTGCTTAAACACTTTGCTCAAGACTCCAGACTGCCCAGTAATGTCCAACAAATCTTGTTTTGCCACTCTGAATATGCTGACACTTCCTGACACTTTCACCTCTTCAATAATTTATTTCTTCCCTTCTTTTGCAGTCTTGATTTCTGTTGCTTATCTACATGTTCCTTTCTCTGGTGAGGTTGATCTCTTTGCCTTCCTCTCTACCAACTATGCTTTTTATTCATGTTGATCCTTCCTACAGGAAAGACCTTTCTTCTCTTCTTTGTTTATACACATCAGTTGAAGTTAAACTCAGGGCTACGTAGTCTGTGAAGCCTACCAGAGTTCTAATTCTCATTGATTTTTATGCTGTCTAGTGCTGTTTTAAGTGGTGTATTCTTATCACTCAGGATTAAAGCTGCCAAAAGTATGGCCTACCTTCCTGTATACTGTTTTGATATCTCTGAGGGGAAATTAGTAAACTTGTTATCTGAATTTTTATATTTGTATAGTCATGCATTTCACCATGCAAAAGGAGGAAGATTAAACATTGTGTAGGATTTTAATTTTTCAGCACTGTAAAATTTACATATTTATTGGATTTGGAAGAACAACGTGTGTGGGTGATATACACACATGTGCACACACACATGCATACACATATATTTACATTATTCTGTCTAGACAGTAGCTGCATCAGTTACACAGGAATTTCAGTCTATTTGCTATATTTACATTTACTAGTAGTCTGTTGAAATTCAAAGGAGATAATCAAATTGAGGAAACCAAGTTGCCTTAATCCTTTTGTCATGGATAATATTACTTAAAAGGGAAGCCTTAGAGTAATAGGAAAAAAGAAATATATTCTTGTGCTCCCCTACCTCTATTCAGAGCAGTAGGATCTGCCCTGCTAAGCAGTCAGACATGTCCTTTAATATGTAGTCTATGTATACCATTAAAAGTGAATAAACTGTCCTTTTATTTTTCAGTTTTGTGTGATGCGTGGAGAAAAGAAGCATTTTGCTTTTTTACAAAGACTGTCCCTGTAACACACAGTGGCTTAGAGATTTGAGATAATTTTTTGAATAATTGTGAACTAAAACTTATGTATGACATCTAATTGTGTTAATAATGAATTTTTAAAGAACTTTACTGAGGTATTATGAGTAACATCTATTGAAAGTATACAATTTGATGAGTTTTAGTGTATATTTATACCACTGAAACAATCATTATAGTTGGTAATGAACCTATCCATCACTTCTGATAGTTTCCTTCTACTCCCTTGTTATCTCTCCTTCCTTTGCTCCCCTCCCCAGTCAACCTCTGATCTGCTTTCTTTCACTGTATATTAGTTTGTATTTTCAAGAAGTTTATATAAATTGAATCATAGAGTATGAACTTTTATTTTGTCTGGCTTCATCAGCTTATGTTTTTTGAGATTCTTGCATATTGTAGCATATACCACTATTTTGTTTTCCTTTACTGCTGAGTGGGATGGATATGGCAGTTTTAAAAAATCCATTTACCTGTTATTGGACATTTGGGTTGTTTCCATATTTTGGATATTGTAAAAAAAAGCTGTTACAATATTTGTATATAAGTGTGAACATATGTTTTTGTTTCCTGAAGGACTAAGTTATATGGTGGATATATGTTTATGTTTTTGAGAAACTACCAAACTCTTGTCCAGAGTGGTTGTACTCTGTTACCCTTCTACCACCAGCGTACAAGAGTTCCAGTTGCTCCATATCTTTGCCAACACTTGGGATGAGACAATTTTTTTGTTTGTTTGTTTTGTTGTGTTGTGTTGTGTTTTTAGACAGGGTCTCATTGTCCTGTCACCCAGGCTGGCGTACGGTGGTATGATCATGGCTCATTGCCACCTTGACATCCTGGGCTCAAGCAGTCTTCCCATTTCAGTCTTCCAAGTAGTGGAGACCTCAGGCACATGCCACCACACCTGGCTGAGTTTTGTATTTATTGTAGAGATGGGGTTTCACCGTGTTTCCCAGGCTGGACACAAACTCCTGACCTCAAGTGATCTGCTCACTTCAGCCTCCCAAAGTACTGGGATTACAGGTGTGAGCCCCTGTACCCAGCTAGGGCAAGTCTTTTTAGTTTTAAATATTCTAATAAATATTTAATGGTATCTCACTGAGATCCAATTTACTTTTCCGTATTGACTAATGATATTGGGCATTTTCCATGTGGCTGTTTGGTGCTCATGTATCTTCCTAGGTGAAGTGGCTGTTCATATTTTTTGCCAGTTTTGAGGTTTTTTTGGTTATTGAGTTTTAAGAAGTCTTTATATATTCTTTATATACATTATTTATCAAATATGTGATTTTCAGGAATTTTCTCCCATTCTGAGGTTTGGACGGGTGAAGTTTTTTTTTTTTTGAGATGAAGTTTTGCTCTTGTTGCCTAGGCTGGAGTGCAATGGTGGGATCTCGGCTCATTGCAACCTCTGCTTGCCGAATTCAGGTGATTCTCTTGCCTCTCAGTCTCCTGAGTAGCTGGAATTACAGGCGTGCGCCACCACACCCAGGTAATTTTTGTATTATTAGTAGAGACAGGGTTTCACCATATTGGCCTCTAATCCCTAACCTCAGGTGATCCACCCGCCTCAGCCTTCCAAAGTGCTGGGAGTACAGGCATGAGCCACTTCCCCCTGCCAACTGGTGAATTCTTTATCTCTCATCTGTATTGAGGTAGTTCCAGGATCCCTATGTTTGAGTATTAAGATGCCATTATGGGTTGGGTTCTAGCTCAGTTAGTCAAGTTGCTACTAGCTAATAATGGATTTTTAAAGAATAAAATTTGATATGTTTTCTTATATAAATGTAAAATTTTCTCATTATAGACAATTTAAAAAATACGGAGAATTACAGAGAAGGAAATGAGACTGGAGTATGCTTGGGAACTCCAGGCAGAAGTCCAGCTGTCAAGGCCATGCATATCAGAAACAAGGGTGCTCCACATACTTGGAGCTTACCACATACTGCAGGACTGTATAGACCTCCTCCACTTAAATTATTCTTAATTCTGGTAAGGATTGCCTCAGAAATATGATGGGCTGAGGTTGCAGTTTGTTTTCCCTAAATGTTAATTTAGTGCTACATCTGCAGTGTTGGCTCAGTATCTGGACTATGCACTTAATAACTGTTTGTATTATAGAAGTATGAAATAAGTGAAGGTCTTCATAGATGTTGTACAATAAGTAAATGTCTTCACAGCATAGAGCTTAGCAAGGCTTGAGAAAGTAGGGACTGAAAAGACAGAAGTGGAATTAATCAAATGTATTTGACTAACATTGAGAAATACTATATTAAAGAAAGTCCAACACAGAGGTCCTAAGGGTTAAGAGTTCCTGGCCTGTGATGCTTTACTGATGAAAAGCATTCAGTTTTGGTGCCAATAGGATTTGGTTTAAGATTATGTTCAACTCTACTAACTGTGTAAACTTGGACCAATACTTAACCTAGTTTTTTACTTCAATTATTTTTTGTTTGTTTGTTTGACACAGGATCTTGCTCTGCCTCTCAGGCTGTAGTGCAGTGGCTGACTTTCACCTCTCCCTTCTGGGTTCAAGCAGTCTTCCCATCTCAGCCTCTCAATTAGCTGGGACCATAGGCACACAGAACTGCACCTGGCTCATTTTGTATTTTTTGTAGAGACAGGATTTTGTCATGTTGCTCAGGCTGGTCTCGAACTCTGGGGCCCAAGCAATCTGCCTGCCTTGGCCTTCCAAAGTTCTGGGATTACAGGTGTGAGCTACCATGCCTAGTCCTACTTCACTTCTTTTACTTATCCAATGTGAATAATTGTGTATACCTGTGGGTTTATCGTAAGGATTGCAGGAGATAAAGCATACGGTAGTTCCGCCTCTTATCTATGGTTTTGATTCCTACTGTTTCGGTTGCTTATGTCAACTGAGTAAAAAAATAGATGAGTACAGTACAATAAGATATTGTAAGAGACGAAAAGAGAAAGGGACCATAAACTTTTATTTCTATATATATTGTTATAGTTCTATTTTATAATTAGTTATTGCGAATCTTTTACTGTATCTAACTTATAAATTAGACTTTATCATAGATATGTACATGCAGTAAATTCTCACTTAACGTCATGGATAGGTTCTTAGAAACTGACTTTAAGTGAAACAACATATAATGAAACCAGTTTTACCATAGGCTAATTGATATGAGCAAGAGTTAATTTCCTATGGCATATATCTGGTCATGAAAACATCACCAACTTGTAAATAAAGATAAAAATTTTTATAATGTTAAAAATTGAAATAAATGTTAGTGATACTTACATTTAAGAAATATTAATAAAACAAGTAAGATAATTATTCACCCAATTATTCTAGTTAAGTACTACAGGTAACCAGAGGCTCTTCTGGCAGCTTAAGCCTTGAGGCAGGAACCAGCTCTGGACAGGACACTACTCCATTGCAGGGCACTCACACACCCACCCACACTCACTCAGAGAGGAACCATGTAGACATGCTAATCCACCTAATGGACACAGCTTTGGGATATGGGAGGAAGCTGGAGTACTGGAGAGAAAACCCATACAGACGTTGGGGAGAATGGGCCAACTCTAAACATACACAGACAGTGGTCCCAGCTGGGAATCAAGTTTCTTTTCTCATCAACATTAAAATGAAGGGACACTGTTTAGGGGACCTTTTGTATAGGAAAAAACATACTATATATAGGGTTTAGTACTATCCTTGGTTTCAGGCATCTGCTTGGGGTCTTGGAACATGTCCCCCATGGATAAGGCGGGGACTGTTGTATACAGTATTTTGATATCGGGTCTGACTCATTGTAGGAACTCAGCAACTGTTAGTGGCATTTGTAGCTATTCCCCTTCGCCTTTCCAGTTACTAGTCTTAGGCAGGGTAACTAAATCTTGCTGTACCCCTCATAAAGGGGATATCTAAGGATGGTATTTACCAGTCCCTCCCTCCACTCTAGAGTAAGTTTTTATACCACTGCGTGTTTTTGAGTGATATGAAAAGAATTATCATGGGATTAAGATAAGCTGATTGCAGATTTTAGTGTTTTAGTATATGCTCTTTTCATGCATGGAGGGATTACTGAAGATACATGGTTAGACTGACCTTAGGTACCTAGTGGTATGAGTCTTTAGCATCAGCAGCAGTATTGGAGTATTGGTCATACAAGGGATTCCTGAGACTCTTATTGTAAACTGGAAGCATGTTCCCATAGAACATCATCTTGAGGTGGACTGTAGTTGAGGAAGGAGCTAAGTTGGTGGTCAGGTTGATGGGGTGATAGACATGAGGGTGACTCATGCCTTTGTAATAACTTCAGAACTGTCTGAAATTATCCAAAGGAAACGTTTGCTGCCATATCTTAGTTCTTTTTTTACACTCTCTGCCTCATTTGCCTTATTCCTGACCTGTTTTTTCCCTGCCTACAAGTTTCTTGACTTCTGGAGCCTATATTATCCCTCCTTCTATTGGGATATGATAACGTTCTTATGTTCGGAAGTGACAAATTGTAATGTTATGCTTTGCCAGTAAGTCATGCTGTGTAACAGACTGCTGTAGCCAGTGTGTTCGAATGTAATATTTTAGGTCATTAAAAATGTAAATGTTTCACTTAATTACTTGTTATAAATTCCTTATGTAATACTTGGGTTAAAAAGAGGTTGTTTTCTAATACTACATTTGAGTTTAGTCTGGGTTATAACAATATATTTAAACTTTTGGGGTTTGAGAATGACTTATCAGAACTACTTTAGTGATACCATGTTTGTTCCATTTCTGACTTTTGGCCAGACATGAAAAGGCATTGGAAATTTGAGTCCTTCTATTTAAAAGGCTGTTATTCAAATGTTATAAGAGTAGCCACTTTCCATATCCACAAAAACCCTTATTTTAGCATTCTAATGGCATGTGGCACAGTGAACAAGGCAAATCACATGGCCACATCTAATTCCAAGGAGGGAAGAGAAAACTGTCCTATATGTCTCCCTAAAACATAGCTGGTAAACAGCCCTAATGATTCTGTGGTTCTCATTTGTGTTCACCATATTCAGATCTCTCTCTCTACTACCACAGGTGAAGTAACTCACCCCTCCTGAAGGCAGTCTGTCTCATTGCCGCATTCAGTCACAACATTGTGCTCAAAGTTCAGTGCCTCTGGGTGATATACAAGAGTCTGTTCATCATGTTCAGATGTGGTACCTCTTAATCTGGAGACTTCATGAACTAAAAAGACAAGTAACTTGTCCCTCCTTTCCCCTTACACCCTGGTAGAACTAACTGGGAGGCATAGTTGCCAAAACCACTCCGATTCAGAAAGGCAAACAGTAGGAGAGATAGAGCAGTCAAAAGTTGTAGCAATTCTGCAATTCCCCAGTAGAATTTTGGGGGACCCCTATCTTGGGCCCAAGAATGTTTCTTAATTATGTCCAGATTCTGCTTCCTGGGAGAGGCTCCTCCATCCATTGTCCTCCATACCACTGGGTTCACCGTCTTGGAATTTTTTCCTTTTCAGTAACTTCCTTGGCTAAAACACAAATGGGCACTGGGCCTCCTTGGGGGCTGAACAGTTTTTTCTGGCAGCCTCTTATCTGTAGAAATTGGTGTCTAAAGGTTGTTTTAAGTATTCAATAATCATATTCCTTTTTGAATTGAGACCAGATTATTTTTGCAGTATAATTCTCAAAAATTTTGTTGGCTTCTTATCTACTTAACTTCAGTCAGCTTGATGTGTTAATAGCCAGACCTAAAATTTTTGCTAGATATAATTCTTAGAGTTTCTGTATTTCTTATCTTTTTCACCTCTGTGCAGGCCCCTTCCTTCTCTTTATTTACTTGAGGATATCTTGACTCTACAAGGCTTCAGTCCTTAGTCTCTTTTTTCTGATTCATTTTATACCAAGTGAAAGAATTTACTGAGTGCCACATTAGTCTACACTGAGGTTTTAATATCAGCTATACCCTTTATTTGATCCTTAGCTGAGGTTGAGTTTTAATCAGTTGTTGTTCCTTAAAGGCCTTCTCAGTTTTGTTTTTAACAGTTTGGGGTTGAAAAGTAGTTGCCTCTTCCAATTGTATAAGTCATTTAATTTGAACTCTCTTTTCTTACATTCCTGCTTGCAAACCAACTCTTTCCTGAATTCATTTTTTCCTTTTGTGGGTTTCTCTTTATCTTATTCTGTTACTTTTTTTCATTTGATTCCTTGTCTTTTCATCCTTTTCTTTTGCTTTTCCACCTCATCTTTTTTTTTTTAACCAGGTTCATTAGAGGCCATCTCTCCTTGATCTCTGTGGAGAGTGCCAACCAATTTTGAAAACTTTTCTTTTGTATTCATTACTATATCCAGTAAGTGCTTTCTTCAAGGATTTCAGAGGCTGTTCCTTTTCTCTTATTAGAACATTTCCTTCGTCACCTGGCTTGTGTTTTTCTTCTTTACTTTTTATTCCTTTTAAAAGTGAAATCTGGGCCGGGTGCGGTGGCTCACGCCTGTAATCCCAGCACTTTGGGAGGCCGAGGCAGGTGGATCACATGGTCAAGAGATTGAGACCATCCAGGTCAACATGGTGAAACCCCGTCTCTACTAAAAATACAAAAAATTAGTTGGGCATGGTGGCGCGTGCCTGTAATCCCAGCTACTCGGGAGGCTGAGGCAGGAGAATTGCCTGAACCCAGGAGGCGGAGGTTGCGGTGAGCCGAGATTGCGCCATTGCACTCCAGCCTGGGTAACAAGAGCGAAACTCCGTCTCAAAAAAAAAAAAAAGAAGTGAAATCTGCAAGATATGTTTGCTAGCAACAATTAAGTTCCTTTTACCACTCACTTAAACTGGGATTCAGTTCTTTGATCTACAGCTTAGGTCAGGGCAACCAGTACAAATCCCAGTATAATTCTCAGTTTCTAGAAGGCTTTACTCACAATAAATCTTTATCTTATGCTTCCTTCTTGATTTTCGGCTATGGGTGAAATATATGAGAACTAAAACTTGAAGCATTTGCTGCCACCAGGATTATTCTTTGCTTTCTCTTCTGTTTTATAGCTCGTTAGGAACTGTCCTCAGAATCTTATGTGTCCTTGCATGTACACTGCAACTTTCTCCCCATTTGTTTTCTAGAAATTGTTGGCCTGGTTGAATGTATAACAGTTGGAATAGTAGGAAGAGAGGGTGTGTGTGTGTGTGTGTGGTTGTATTTTTGTGTGTGAGCATGTGTGTACTGGGGATGGTGCACAATAATCTCACCAACACAAGGATCTGCACTGATGAGAATTTAAAGTTGGCTGCAGTTTTACAATGGGTACTGATATGCTTTGGTTCTATGTCCCCACCCAAATCTCACCTTGAATTATATTAATGCCCATGTGTCAAGGGCAGGACCAGGTGGAGATAACTGAACCATTTACCCATGTTGTTTTTGCGATAGTGAGTGAGTTCTCATGAGTTCTGATGGTTTTTATAAGGGGATTCCCCGTTGGCTTGGCACTCATCTCTCTCCTGCCATCCTGTGAAGGGGTGCCTTCCCCCAAGATTGTAAGTTTCCTGAGACCTTTCACATGGGTACCAATAACTAGCACCAATATTGCATGGTTGATGCTGGTTTTTGGCATTCATGTGAAACTATGAGTCAGTGAAACCTCTTTTCTTTGTAAGTTACCCAGTCTAGGGTATTTCTTCAGAACAGCGTGAGAATGGACAAATACACATACAGTGCTTGAGTGTCTACATTAGGTAACCATCAGTAGAGGATCTTTGAAATGCTTTCTTTTTTTCAGGTGGCCTTAGTTTTATGAGGCTTAAGGTAGTTATGGCATAAAAAGAGACCTGGACTTTTAACTTTTTTCTATTACCCAAACCAGTATCTATTTTATAGTTAGCAAGCTCCTTCCAGATTCTTGTGTTATCTGTTGATTTGCGTTTATATGTAGGGATTTCCTGGGTTATTTTCTAAGTCTTCAGAAATTGAGAGAGGTTGCACTGTGAGCTTCAAGGGATCCAGGAGTTTAAACTGGAAGATCATTTTCTAGCTTTGTTTGCTGACATCTAGAGAAGGCTCATGCATTTACATCTGGTCATAGAATTCCTAAGAGTAATTATTGTGATATCTTTATGCTTAGCTTTTTCCTACAAAGGGTAAGAGTATTACAGTTGCATCCACATTTGACATTGTGTAACATTTCTATTTCAGGTAGCAGCAGCAGCAGCAGCAGCAATGTTTCACTTCTTCAGAAAGCCTCCAGAATCTAAAAAGCCCTCAGTACCAGAGACAGAAGCAGATGGATTTGTCCTTTTAGGTGAGTCTTTTTAAGAAACAAAATAATTAGATGAATTATACTTTCTTTAAAAAAATTACTTGATTATATGATTGATTTTAAATTATTTCTAATAATTCAGAATTAATTTATGTGTTACTTTTTAGAAAGTGAAATCTGTAAAGATAAAGGTCATCAATTACTTGGAATAGTGTCATCAAGTGAGACTTTTCTTACATGTTGGTTTGGCTGTGTACTCCAAATTAAATTTGTAAAATCACTTCTCCCCTCCCCCCCTTTTTAACTGTGGAAACTTACAATCTTCAGGAAACTTACAGTCTTCAAAAAAGTCTTGAAGAATTTTTGATAAATTCAAGTTCAGTCTTATACATAATACTAACTTTGTTTCATAAATTAGCATCTGAAATTAAATTAGGCATCCAATAAATATTTGCTGAATGAAGTAGACTTTAAAGTCTAAATATGTTAGTGTTTCCTGTTTGTTAAGACTATTTTCTATTATAAAATTAATACTTGCCAATTTTAAGGATTTTTTTGGCTTTAAAAAATATTTCTTTCAATCAAATGCAGTATTCTTCTCCAGGGGAATTCTGAAAAGTACAATTTCCTCCATGTCGTGTCACATTTCTTCCCCTGAAGAAAAGTTTTGCACAAGGTCTCTGTATGCTCTTTCCAGAAATTCTCTTTCCCAGGTGTAGCAGGGGGTAGTCAAACCCAGTATTTCCTCCTGGTTCTCATCCTCTTCCATACTGGACCTCCTTCCACCAAATTCCTTTTCCCTCTCTGATAAGATTTACATTAACTCATATGGTCTTCACTCCCTGGAATGTTTCTCTGGGTCTCTTTTTTCCAGATACTGGTTTCCTACCTCTTCCTTATCTTGGCCCAGTCAGACTGGCATCTACTAGCATCAGTCAATGCTCTGTATGCTTTGAGAAATAAGAGATGTTTCCCTTAGATGTAAGGGTAATCTCTGGGAGATCAGAATAGAGTTTTTCTCATGGATAAACTTTACTATAGAATTTTCCATCATTTCTACAGTCAAGTTCTGGCAGGCCTGGGTGTTTTTCTGAATCTGTCTCATATGTCCAGGGACAGGGGCAGTAGCTGGGAGGTTGGTCAGAATTGTTTTCGTCAGACCAGATCCCTTATACCTGAGGAAAAACACTGGGGCTTAGTCTTTGACCAGGGCTGGTGATTTTTCTGGGTAGCCTTCGGAGTAGGATAAGGTGGAGCGTGGTGGACTTGATTGCTAGTCCGATCCTTCCTTCTTAGTGTGTCAGGGATTTATGCCTTGGCTTCCAAGTCAGAACTGACTCTGTCAACCCCAAGTTTAGTTCCTCGAAAACTGCCAGTATTACTTTCTTCACACTTCTTGAATTAGCCTCACTAACAGAAAACTTCAGGGGTGCCTCAGGCCTCCTGTGAAGTGCCTCTTCAGGATTTCACAATAAATTCTTCTCTCAGCATTTTTTCCAAAAAACCCTGGTTTTCTACTCTGTTCCATATTCTTGATTTAAAAATACCTCTGAAGTCTTAACACATATTCAGGGAACTCTGCTTTTGTTTGTTTTTATTCTACATGTATTAAAAATTTTTTTTTGAAGTTATTTTTTGAGAAGGTAGAGATGGGGTCTTGCCATGTTGCCTAGTCTGGTCTTGAACTCCTGGCCTTAAGCAGTCTTCCCGCCTCGACCTCCCAAAGTGTTGGGATTACAGCCATGAGCTGCCACGTCCAGCCTCTTTTCTGTTGTTTTTGTGATTAGAAATTAACATTATTCTTTTTAATATCAAATAGCCATTTAAAGAATGTAAGTTGGGTGTACTGGCATCTTGGAGGGCACATAGAATTTCTGATGCTGGACCTTAAACTTTTTATTCATCTTCTTTATTTCTACCTCTCTGCCACTTTGTAGGATTTCTGAGACAAATTTTAACCCCCTCTGCAGTGGCTCCTGGAGCTGCTAAGATCTTCTCCAATTTCTGGTAGCAGGATGTAGTCTTGAGATATTCTACTGCCTGTCTTGTAGCTACCTCAATAGAAGCCTGGTTTCTAGAGCCTTCTGCTCAGGGTATTAACTATCGTAGACCTCTGTCCCTTTCTAGGAAAGACTAGTTTGAGAAGTTGTCTTTCTTTAACTGAGCCTCAGAAGGCACACAAACTTCCAAATTTGGTATTTCATGAAGGAATTTCTGGGACCTAATATGCACTCAGTACTAGCTGTTCCATCTGATATATCTAAGCTCTAATGATACTTTTCCCAAAAGCTGAAATGCTGTATTTTGAGGGAGTTTTCCCAGGACTATCTTGGACTAGCATGATTGATGCTAGTTATTGGTACCTAGCGCCATATGTCTAGCAGTTGAACAGTCATGGTGAAGAATCACTTCTGTCATAGTTCTAGGATAGCAGTTCAATTTGCAGTGCAGCTGGTGCTGCACCTCGTTCAAATGACCCAAGCAAGACATGTTGGCTGAGGCCTCTTTGCCTTTCAGCTCCTCTGTCTGCTGACTTTGTCTCTGTTTAGCCTCATTTCCCCTCAGGTGCAAAGCTCCACCCCTTCACCATTTTCATAAAAATCCTGTATACATAATCTTTTGTGGGTGTCATTACTCTCCTGAAGTTTTGATGGTATCAGTAAGCATCATCTCTGAGTTCTTACTTCCTCTGTCCTCTTTCTCTTTTTATCACTTATACCCTCCTTTCTTCTGCAGGAGCATCTCAGAGGCTCTACAGTGACATACCATTAAAAGTGCTGACCCTGGGTCAGACCCCTGGGGTTGGCATCCTGGCACCATGACTTACTCTCTACCTTTGGCAAGTGATATACTCTCCCCAGTACCACTCAGTATATCTAGAAAATGAGCATGATATCAGTTCCTACCCCATGAGGTTATTGAGGGGATTAAATTAGTTAATGTGTGTAAAATTCTTAGAACAACCCTGTGAGTGAGCTAATACTATTATATAACCATACATAGGCTAGGATTTAATGTTTCCAAGTTTCTCCAGCTAGCATGTAGCAGATCTGGAATTAGCCCAGGCAGTCTGATTTCAGAGCCTATCCTCTAAACCACTTAACTATCCATTATTTTGTTAAAAAAAAAAAGTTATATCATCAGTTTTAATTCTAAGACATTATTGACATCTTAACCTCTTTGTTTAAAAAAAAAATTATATTCCCTGCAGTTGAAAAGAGAAAGTGCTGTTTTTTGTCTGTTTTAATAAAAGAAGGTTGGTTGTTGTATTACTGTTCATAAAGTTTGGCCTTTATTTTGGCTACCCAAACCTTTTAATTTTTTATTATCTAATAGTTAAAATTTTTTTTTTTTGAGTTGGAGTCTTCCTCTGTCACCAGGCTGGAGTGCAGTGGTGTGATCTCAGCTCACTGCAATTTCCGCCTCTTGGGTTCAAGCAATTCTCCTGCCTCAGCCTCCCCAGTAGCTGGGACTACAGACGCCTGCCACCACACCCAACTAAGTTTTGTATTTTTAGTAGAGATGGGGTTTTACCATGTTGGCCAGGATGGTCTTGATCTCCTGACCTCGTGATCCACCTGCCTCTGGCTCCCAAAGTTCTAGGATTACAGGTATGAGCCACTGTGCCTGGCCAATAATTTAAATATTTTTAAAATATTTCAGAAAACTTCTTGATGAAGTTGAGATTGGAAGATGATATATATTTTTTAATTAGTGAAAACATCCTTCAACAGTGAAGAACTTAACTGAATTGACAGATAAAGATCCTGACAGACTATTAGGAATATTGTTAATTGTCTTTAAAGTTATAGTTAATTGTCTGGTAAACTCTTTTTTAAAAAATTGATTTGCTCTGTTAGATTGCTCTTTTTATCGTATAATTCTGTACTGACATATAGAATATCTACTTTAGTCTCAGAACATACTATATAAAAATATTTTGGAAAAAGTAAAGTAGGTCAAATGGCAAATAGAAAATGCTTTTACTGCTTTTATTAACATGGGCACATACTTGCACACATCTATTTTGTTTTAAATTTTTTAGTTTTAATTATTAGTAGTACATAATTGTTATGTATATTTATGGGGTACATGTGATGTTTTGACACAGGCATATAATGTGTAGTGATCACATAAGGGTAGTTGGGATATCCATCACTTCATGCAATTATTTCTTTGTGTTAGTAACCTTCAATTTCTACTCTTTTAGTTATTTAAAAATAACACAATAAATTATATAGTCACCCTACTGTGCTACCAAATACTAGATCTTATTCCTTCTACCTAACTGTATTTTTGTACCCATTGTCTATCCCCATTTTACCTCCCTCTTCCTGCTACCCTTCCTAGCCTCTGGTAACCCTCTGTATTCTCTATCTCTATGAGTTCAATTAAAAAAAAATTTAGTTCCCACATGTGAGTGAAAACATGTGAAATTTGTGCCTGGCTTATTTCACTTAATATGATCTCTTCTAATACCATCTATGTTGTTGCAAAGTACAAGATTTAATTCTTTTTTATGGCTAAATGTTATTCTATGGTGTATATGTACCACCTTTTCTTTATCAATTTATCTGTTGATGGAGAAACTTAGGTTGATTCTATATTTTGGCTCTTGTGAATAGTACTGCAAGAAACATGGGAATACAGACATCTCTTTGATATGCTGATTTCTTCTTTTGGGTATGTACCCATTAATAGAATTGCTGGATCATATATTAGTTTTGTTTTTAGTTTTTTGAGGAATCTCCATACTGTTCTTCATAGTGACTGTACTAATTTACATTCCTGCCACCAGGGTATGAGGTCCCCTTTCTACACATCCTTGCCAGCATTCATTATTGCTTGTCTTTTGGATGAAAGCCATTTTAACTGGGTCGAGATGATGATATCTCATGTTGATTTTGATTTGCATTTCTCTGATGATCAATAATACTGAACATTTTTTAATATACATGATCAGTAATATTGAACGTTTCATATTGAGACATTTCTCAAAAAAGTCATGCAGGTGTTCAATATTATTGATATGAACTTTTTTT